TTCAGAGTTTGCTGAGGTGTTAGCTACATAATTTGATCGACAGTTGACAGGGGAAAGACTTTTTACATGAGACATTTGCCATTTGCAACTGCAAATTACAGTTGACCATCATTGCATAACAAATGGGTAGGTGGTGGCGATAAAAGTAAGGTATGCTAAATAGCAGGTAGCACAGAAAGATTTCCTCCACCTTTTCTATCTGAGACACCTTTGCCCATGGTGTCGCCTTTCACATTGCCTCTAGGTATCCAAAATCCTCTCTGTATTTTGAGTTTCCTGTGGAAGATTATGGTTGTCACTCTGTCTTTACAGTTCTTTTCAGCATCCAGACAGTTTTGACAGGCATACAGTACTGTGCAAAAAAACAGAGACCACCCTTCATTCATTTAATTTCCAGTCAAAGCTGCAATTAAGTACAAGTTATTTATTAAGGAGATATTTCTGAGGAGATTAGTTATAAAAAAGTCTACTTGTATAAGGAAGGGGGAAGTCAAAAGAAATAAGTGGAAAAACAGGAGTTTCCAAAACTGAATTTCACAAAATCATAGACCATTACAGAGACTGCTAGTTATAAAGAAGGCACCAGTCACTTGCAATCAGCTTGCTAGTTACACCATGAGTGGGAAAAGCTCCCCTCATTGTCAAGATCTTTGCAAGCGCAGTAGCCAGAACAACCCTAAAAACATGTTTTTTGTGCGTTACTGAGTGTTTATTCCAAATATAACCAATGACTTCAAATATGATCTAAAACAAAAACTGACCTTCAGTTTTGAGTATTTTTTGGCTGGAAATATTTTCATTTGAGGACTTTGACCATTCACACACTTCCGCGTTTGTTAATCCGGAAGCTTAAATAGTAGCATTAGACGACTTCCGGTAGTGTTGTAAATATGATCTATAACAAAAACTGACCTTCAGTTTTGAGTATTTTTTGGCTGGAAATACTTTCATTTGAGGACTTTGACCATTCACACACTTCCGCGTTTGTTAATCCGGAAGCTTAAATAGTAGCATTAGACGACTTCCGGTAGTGTTGTAAACAATGACCGAGACTACTGCCCGGAATAAATACTTCATACTAAATGCGCAAATTATACGAAACAGAGCTTTCTAGAGTTTCCACTTGATCAAGTTGAGAAATGCTCAACTTCTGCTGAACAGCTCCGCTTGTCATGTGTCAGTTTTCACAGAAAAAAAGCAGCGTAAAACTGAGCTAGACTAGAGAAACAGACCCCGTAGCTTGGTGAGTAGTTTACTTTGAAGCCGCAGTAAGTAGGATTGAGAAGAGAGTGGACTCAAAATTCGAACGAGTACAACTACCAGGTACCTCCCCCTTCTCCTGCACTCCAGCCCTACCTCCTAAGCCCCTCCCTACAGAGGAGGCAGCTGTGCATGCGCAGGCTAGCAACCATGGCAACTGAAGAGGCCTTGTAAACAGCATGGAGCACACACCAGTAGGAACATGAACTAAACTCCACACAGCTAGAGAGCACAGGCACACACAAATATCAGGACAGATGCCAAACCAATATGACTGCCTGGGCTTTTCACAAAGATATTTTCAACAACTTTTAAATAAAACAACGCTAACCAGTAGCCTTAGCATTGGAAACATGTTGATGCTAGCCCGACTGCAGCGCCGCAGTAGTATATACGCTACGGTGTGTTACTGTAACTGTTACTATCTTAGCTTTGTGGTTATTTAAATAAATAAAGCAGAGATGCGGGTAACTCTGCATCGGATTGTTTTATCCTGGGCTCTGTCCCTGTCGGTGTGAAGGGGAGGAGGACTGCCCGCAGCAGGTGCACAAGCACAATCCATCAGGCACTCCTGTCGGCTCTGATTGGTTGTCTTGATTCGAGCCCAGTGAATTCTTGCAAATAGTATTAGGAGCACTAGGCGTAGCCACAGGAGCCAGATTTTTTTCACAGATTATCGGTCTCATGTATTACTGTCAGGATAAGTGACAGTTTTAGCAAATATAACAGTAATTTTTACATGGGTTACTTACTGCAGCTTTAATATAGAAATATGATGCTGTGTTTTTGTTAGTTGTTGCGTTCAAGGCACTCACTAATGGTAATGTTCACATGAGTTGAGTGGGAAGATTTAAAATTGGTACACTTTTTCTCCTGCAGATTGGAGCACAATAAGTGCTTGTTTCTTTAGTCTGCCCATTTAGGGATGTGTGATGTAGTGTTGAACATTAAGATATGCTCTGCTCCTTAACTGCTTTGCAACGCTGTCAGACAGATTTGCTTCACTGTTTGAATGCAGCTGCTTTGACACTGACCGCGTAAAAAAAACACAATAGGATGTGCGCATAGATGTCTGCTACAGCATATACACCATTGCCGGTCTATTAAACATTGTGGGCTGAAGTTTTATAACGCTATTATTTACAGCCAGATGTGACAAAGCAGTGACTGTGAGAAAGGTCTATTAAGAAATAAAGAAAATGTGCCTCCTAACAACCATGCAGGACCTGGTAGACCACAACAACTGTCAACATTAGATAAACAGTTTAAACTTTGAGAGAAAATTAAGCTCTACTCTTTCTTCAGATCTGAAAAAATCCACAGGTGTTCCTGTCTGTCCTTCCACTGTAAGATGACAACTCAGTACTATGAGTCTTAAAGGATGTGTACCAGTCAAGAAGCCCTCAATGAGGGAAGAAATAGACAAAAAAGAAGAAAGTTTGCAAATCAAACAAAGAATCTGCTGGTGTTGTCAGAACAATGAAGTGACCAGTCCAGACCTCAACAACACTGAATGTGTTTGGGATTACTTGGATAATGAAAAGCAGAAAATGCAACCAACTTCTTAGACTGAACTTGGGAGGTATGGAAAAATATCCCTGCAGATTTCTTTAAAAAACCTGAATGCAAGTCTCCCCAAAAAAATGGAAGCTGTAAAAAGGCAAAGAGTGGACACACTAAATGCAGAAAATTTTGCTATTATATTTAGCCTAGTTATTTAGACTTCTGTATAATTTCCTGTTTCATTTTGTTTGCTTTTGTTCCTGATTGCAACATAAATCCACCCAAAAAAATCAGCAATGTTGAACCTTCTGCTCCACTGAATGCTGTTGTGGAATGCTTCAACAAGTGAATCATTTGACACATTTCTTATGTTTCGGTTTAAAATGCGTAGAAGCAACAGGGGTGACGGGAAGAGGCACAGAGCTGCTGTGAAGCGCTCGTTCTCAGCGGTCGTATGCGGATGAACTGAGACGTCTGGGAATTTGAGCTGCTGTTGTAAGTGGGTTGGTGAGAGTGGGGGTTGAGTGAGTGTGTCCTGTGGAGGGCTGGGGATGGTAGCGCTAGCATGTTTTGAGCCTAGGCAGAGCAGAACGGATGGGAACCTGTGAGGGGGCGGATGATTGACCTCTAACCCTGCCAACATCTCCGCAGCGGTTCAGCAGCCTACAGCCTGCCTGAACGGCTCACGCCACCCCCAACAGCTCCATTCAGCACGGATGTAAATACCTCTCCTACATAACTGACAGTTTTAGTGTGAGGTTTTTGTGATAATACTTATATAACATTAGCGAGCCCACAGCAGAAGCATGCACGTGTTGCTTGCGGATCCATGGAGAAGAAAACCAATGCTGAGAGAATCCATACTCCTCGCCCTCTGGTGCCCCGAACCCTGTGTATAGCCTCTGAGTAATTGCAAGAGAAACGGATGCTTTGGTGAAGTTGTGAAACACACGTGGGCGTATTTATCAAGTCACTCCAACAAGTGCTCCTGCACTCATCAGTCTGTAATTGCTAATAATTGAGTGCATTAGCAGAGCCCAGTGATGGATTTTGTGGATGAAATACTGCTTCCTTTGTAAAAGGTTTTCTGCCGGACATTAATCTGCAGACGGCACAGCATACAATGCTGAAGAAAAGGGTTTCACTGTAAGAAACCAAGAATATACATAAATGTAATATATAAATGTGTTTGTGTGGGTGTGAGTTTTGCAATAAGTGGAAATATGTGAAGCCTCAGAGGTCAGATAACCATCAGCCTTCTTCAGAATATGCCAACAAATGGGAGGCAGCAGACAGCCGAGCAGTGAAATGGATTTCTGTGGAGGGTTCAGCAAAGCTCAGGAGAGCGCGATAAAATTCACTACTGGTCGGCCAGACCACAGTTAATAAAAAAGCCAAGCACTTCAGCGCTTAGGAGCACAAACTACTCGGCTGAATCACAAGATTTCAAATGTCAAGTTGAATTTTGAAAAGGGGTTTTGTGCCAACAAATTTTGAGGGTGCTTAGTTCTGAAAAGCATTGTTCTGTATTGTTCAGTGCTTCTCTTGATTTTGCCAAGTGGCACAATTTATTTGTGGTGAATATTACTGATGAAAATGCAGACCATTCAGGCAACTCTCATCAGTGCATAAATAACTCGGATACAATAGTGTGTAGGCAAGCCTATATTCCATGAAAATACTAGTTTATTAGATGCACCCACCTCTACTTTCTGTCATTGGTCATTTTGTCAGGAACATCTACTATATAGGTGCACTTTGTAGGAATACAGTTACTGAGAGTAGCCCAATAGTCCATGCTGATCTATTACTATGCATAATTTGTCAGCCTGCCACTACCACTGCTAATACACCTACCACTGTCACCACCGCTAACAAGATGTTGGAGTATTGTACAGTATTGTGCATCAGGCACAGCAGCATAAACTGGCCACTTCATTAGACACACCTACCTTATTAGTACACCTTGGGCACAAGAACCTCTCTCCCTGACAAGGGTCAATATGCCACCATTGGCATATTGACTCAGAAATGTTATTTAGTTAAAATTTGCTCTTACAAGACTCAAAGGTGTTTGATATTTTTATCTAAACAACAAAAAAGATACTGTTCCAATTTATTTCCCATAACTGTTGGTTTATACAACGTTATCCTGTACATTGTGTAATTTTACAGAACATGAACACTGTTCTTAAGCGGGACATTATTCCAATCTTCCCCCACTTTTCGTTTCAAAGACCAGATTACTATTGAAGGCATGGTGGTACAGCGTGCTGAGTGCAGACCTGCAGTCCAAGAGAGCTATGTAAAATTAAAGAAGTGAGTATGTGCAGTAGTTTGGTTAGAAAACCAAACAATATACAAGTTGCTAAATAATAATATAAAAACACACATGCTGTCTGCAGACTGCAGATTGAGGAATCAACCAAGCCACTCCGACTGTCTCAGCGGCTGGACAAAGCAGTTACCACAAATTACAAACCTGTGTCCAATCACTCCTATAATGTAAGCGTATATTTGTGTGCATATTTGCCTGCACCCACACATATAACGCATTACTCAAGTTCTCTGTGTGCAGGTGGAATATGAAAAGAAAAAGAGAGAAGAAGGCAAGAGAGCCAGGGCTGACAAGGAGAAAGTTCTGGAAATGCTCTTCTCTGCTTTTGAGAAGCACCAGTACTACAACATTAAGAACCTGGTGGAGATCACTAAACAACCTGTGGTGAGTCACTTTGTTCATAAATCAACTTCTTTAATCATGAATTCCTCAGCAACACCTCTAGCTTAGCTAGTCACTGATGGGAATGTGTGTGTGTGTGTATGTATGTATATATATATATATATATATAATTTCTTTTTCTTTTTTCTCAATGGCTTTACAGCCTACCATGCACAAGTTTATACCACTTTGCCTTTACACACCCCACAGCTCCATATACAGCCATTAACAAGTCCTTCACATAGCGAGTTTTAAAAGGTGTCTAAACATAGCCCTGTGTTTTATAATGGAGGGTTTTTCACCGGTCTTTGCATATAACCTTTGGATCGAAATGTAGTCATTTATTTCATTTGTTTACCTGAATATTTTCTTTTTCTGAGTCACTCATTTTGTCATGTTTTATCAGGTTTTTGTTTTGATGCGTAAGAGCTTTCCATTTCCAAATCTAATCTAAACTCTCTGTGCTGAATATTAGTGCGTGGATGCAAAATAAAACCTGTGCACCTACAAAAAGCTGAGCACACTAAACTGAGCACACTGCCTTTTTTTGAAGGTCCATAACAATACCAAAATCTGTATCTGATATGTGAGCACGTATCAAACTGTGCTATTTTATTTGATTAGTTCTAACCCTAAACCAACACACCAGGCTTTTTATTTGGTGTTTATTTTGTGCAAAAAAACAATGTCAAATGAGAAAAGATGCTTTGTACCAAGGATAGCCAACTAGCTTTTTTCTTTTTGCTGTGCCTGGGTAGGTAAACGTATAATTAATACAAAAAATGATCAAAATTGTAATTGTAAATCTCAACATTTAGCCAACTCTTCCCAAATGCACGCACTCATCGTCACATACACTTTGTCTTCACTGTTAGGGGGTAAAAAATCCTCAATATATATATATTTTTTTAATTTCATAATTTGGAAATGCTAGCTACTCTTACATTGTGTTACAATTTTGTGAGGAATAAATCAGTAGAAATTGTCTAGAAGTATTTGGGAAAAAAATCTTGTTGCATTAACCTCCATCCAAAGTTGAGACATTTTTCTTCTCTTGTAAAGTTACCATTTTTGAAGTTTTGTTGCCACAGTGATAACAAAACCATAAAGGGAAAAGGCACAGATAATCTTGAGTGCAAATAAATTAATGCAGACATGATTGATGAATTAAGTTAAATTATTTAAATTTCAAAAATTGTACATGATTTCATGCTTTAATATTCATATGCTCCTAAAGACCTTTACTATTTGAGCAGTAATAGGATTGGCACTAAATGACATCTTCAGCTGTCTAAGCATTACCATTTAGTTTAAGGCACTGAAATATTCATACTTAATCATAAAATGATGCATGCTGGCTCTAGAAAAGTTTGTACTCAGGTAGGTTTTGTATCCCTCTCTGATTGCATTATCATTGGTAAGTGTGCTTGGTCTTCTTAAGGAGAGTGCCCACTTAAATGCTGTCTCGGTTTCTCTTGGCATTAGAGATGTAAATGCCATGAAGTTGTATGACTCATATCCATACAGCTGAATTATGAGACTAATCAAGACCTGAGAAAGATTAATATTTCAGCAACTAAAAACCATGCTAGCTATAGACACCTAGTGGTCACCCTCATTACTTACAACAAATTAGCCCAAGTATGATTATAAGGGTAGTGAATCTGGCTCCAACGTTAGTTGCATCAACTTCATGGTATTTATGTACATCACTGTTTAAATACTAGGAACATTTCCCTATAAATAAGCTATAATTGAGTATTTAATGAAAGTTAAAAGCCATGGGCTCCTGCAGACAAGTCATTGCTTGCGGTTACCATTCTACCAGCCCTTCAGCTTCACAGTAAAAGGGCATAATCACCATGTTGATAATTGTCATTAGGAAGTAGCTTGGATAATGTTTTGGGTGACTCAATCCCTAAACTGGCCCAAACATCCATAGATTTACCTGAAAGAAATTCTGCGCGAGATTGGAGTTTATAATTCCAGAGGACCTCACAAAAGCACCTGGGAACTCAAACCGGAATACCGCCACTACCAGGAAGGAGAGGAGGATGAAGGCAACATGGATTAAAGTGACATGGCTTCATTTCAGCACACATCCAGTACTGAAAAGTGGTTTGTTTGATTTCTAGCACTTTTTTTGGGTAAAGTAGCTTCATTTCCATGAAAAACTTTCCAGGTGGCAGATGTCATTAAGAGAAAGCATCTGTTCGTTTGTACGACTACTTTTCTGTTTATGCACGAAAGAAGCTGAAATAAATATTTATTTGCTTAAATTCATGGTACTGGTGTACTGCTTTTAAGCAGAATACTTTAACAGTCTAGCCGCAACTACAGTGTAGACCTAGCATTTTCTCTGGTAGCAAATAGCCCCATTAATTAAACAACCTATTGACAAATATGAATCTCACTAGGGGAAAGTACTAGTCACAAAAGCCCTGCACAGGTATGTTCAGACTGTTAAACCATCTTTAATGCAGTCATTATTTCCTTCATATACTATACAGTGTAGTTACCCCCAGTAAAACAAATATATATACACAACCAATTTAAACACAACATGCTTTCTTTGGCTTCATCAGCACACAACTAAAGCACTAGTAAAGCTGACCAGTTAATTTAACTATATAGCATTAGTCACTCCTTGGGAATCAAACTTGACTGTTTAGTCACTAGCCCCATTGCATGCATGAGAAATGGCATCCAGCAGGAAGTAAACCTGATGTTCCAGTATTACCTGCAAAAGTAAAATGCACGAGATTAACATGACATTGAACGAAAATTTATTAATATGAGGCTCTTACGTGAAAGCAAAATGTGTGCAGATCATTCATTTAAGCATCTGGAAAGTAACTACATACTTTTTCATCTCCAGGCCATCACTGGAGATACATATGGATGTTTGCTTATTTTCACAGTAGTTGGGCAAACCGCCTTTCAACCTTTCGAAATATGGAAGAACAACAAAAAAAACAAAAACATCCCATTAAAGATATTCACAAAAAGCCTTTTCTCTCTCTCTACAGAACCAGTATGTGCTCAGGTAATACATGCTGTAATGTTTCACTGGACATAGCCTCAGCAGAGTTTGGTCATCCTTGCACATATTTTATGCAGAGCATTACTTTGATATTAGTGAGTAATCAAGTTAAAGATGTTCAAAAATGATCTGGCCACTCATGGAATCTGTATATTATTCTGTTATATTAATTCAAAATATTACATCATCTAATAATTACACCTGATATTAGAGCATATTGTATATTCATTGTGTTAGTGAATACAAATTATATACCTCAGGACTAAGTAGATGAATATCCCACATCCTCTTCACCTACAGAAAACAGACAAAGCAAAGTCACAAAAGGTTGTTTGTTCTCCAAGGTAACGCCTACCGATAAAACAAACGTGCTCAGGTAATACATGCTATTAGGTTCACTGGTCACAACCTCAGCATAAAGTAGTCATCATAGCAAGCATTTCACACTTTACGTTGCAGTGTACAGTCTAAAAGCTCTAGCCTTATATACAATGTGGGCACAGCAAATGGTTTTATACAAGATGAGTCATCTTTTTTATACCTTACAAAAGCTCATTCTGAGTTTTCCTGAAATACAGACAAATGTCCAGATGGCTAGATCTACTGCCACTTTGGTATGGAATGAAAGTCTCCAAGTTAACAAAACTTGTACCATCATGTAGCCTTTGAGAAAGATCCTGTATGACTGCCTTGAAGGAAGCTGCCTTGGTAGATTGTACTTCAAGATGTGCATGTTATTCACAGCCTTCACCTTCCCTTCAGCAGTCACATGGCCACCAGCCAGGATATTGTCCTCTATATGTATCCTCTCCACTGCTCCCACTTACAGTGCAGCTTCATGATCAGTATTTGTCTCACTTTATAGATGAGAAATTTTGCCTAAATCCTATTACAGTACAAAACCTATGATAATATTTGTGTTGCATTTGTTACGGATTGTACCCCCCCCCCTTTTGTCTATTAGAAAAGTAGTCATGACATTAACATTTTTTAAATAAGATTTATCTAGGTGAACAGTTTCAGTATATGATGTAAACAGTATGCATTCAGACTAACCTTGAAAGTTGTTCAGATGAAGTGCTCCAAATTCCTCAGTGATGTCACAGCAGAGCAAGAACTGCTAAAGCACAAAATAGAGTAAAAAGAAGGGATTAGATACAGGATTCTTTTCACTGGGTGTCCATTTCACTCTACTGCGCACTGATGCTTTCAGCTTCTTTAAAGGCACGTTACACAACAAATGTTATTTTATTTATGTATGTATTTGTTACTTTCTATCTACTTTTATTGTATTATAGTATATTATGTATCATTGGCGACCTAACCTGCACATGGCTCAGTCACCTTCCAGGACAAGCTGCAAACTATGTAGAGCCGATGTTCTCTTCAGGGCAGCTGTGCAGAGGCGCTCATCCGCCTTTGGTGTTTCTGTGGAAAAAAGAAAGAGAAAAACTGAATCCCCGAAAACCCCGCTCTCCCACAGAGGCTCATCTCCAAAACCGACATGTGCTCAGGTAATACATGCTGTAGTGCATCATATATCATAACTTCCGCAATTAAAGTCATCATTGCCCATGATGTGTCTCTTTAGCCCAGTCTGCATAGTCAATGTTAAAGCTATCTGTTCTACAAACGAGTATGCTATATATATATATATATATATATATATATATATATATATATATATATATATATATATATATATATATACACACACCACACGTAAAAGAACAGAAGCGAAATGCGTCGCTCTGCACACCTCGAAAAGTGAGAATTTAACTTACATGCATTAGCGTTACATGTGAATCATGTGAGAAACCACGCTTTGTCTAAAGTCTGCGTCCATAAAAACGCCTACACTCACATGGCCACATGCTCAGTTTTGATCTGGGATCAACAACGAACGTTATTACACAATAGATCAATTAATTAAGGTGCAAAAACACATTGCTGCGCAGTTTGAGTGGTTGATCCAGCTTATCTAAAGCACTAGGCCATGCTCTCTCTTACCGTTAGACGCGTTTCGTTGGTCGAAGCCTGTAGGCCTTAATACTACATTCCTGCCTTTAGTTCCCCTGAAATATATTCAAGCCAAAAACTCACAGCCTACCTGCTGTATATTTGCTTGAGCTCATTGTGGCAGTTTACAGAAATGTATTCGCCACCACAGAGAGCCGAACACCGACACCTTAGCGAACTCGAACAGAAAGAAAGAAGCACGTTTCGGTCTCGTGTTGAAAGAGCACGATGGGTGACGTCATCGCATAGGCCACTCAGGGTTGCCAAGGTCTAAAAAACACCTCTTTAGAAACGTCTGAAAAAGAGTGGACGAGACAGTTCACAGTGCTATCTTTGGCGTCTTTATTGGACAGTCACCACACATTGTATAGGCCTAACAGTTCAGGATGGAAAAAAAAAATTCTGAAACTGAAAAAAAATCTTCGTCAGCTTCGAGGACTTGGCAACCCTGCGACCGTTTATCCCTTGAGCAAGGGAGCCCTCTTGTGGAAGAAAGCTTGGACATAAAATAAGCGCTTATAACAATTACATTATTTAAGAGTATGAATAAAACACGTCTAGTATCTATCTATCTATCTATCTATCTATCTATCTATCTATCTATCATCTTTATTTACGTGTTTAAAAATATAATATGTTGGCCAAACTAGACAAAAATCTAGGAATTCTTTGTTGCATTTAATGCAACATCCGTGCTCTGTTTTTGCAACCCTTTTTGGTGACACATAGAACCATATACTCCATGAATCTGAAGAACCATTTCACAATGCAAAGAACCATTTAAGGATGCAAATGGTTTTGAGTGTTCATGGTTTTATATAGAACCACTGTCTTTACTAAAGAACCCTTTTCTTTTTTTTTTTAAAGAGTGGATTAGACACAGCTGCAGTCTTTGTTTGAGGAGATGGATCATTTTGCCCAAAGGCTGAACCTAATGTTTTATACATCACTGCAATGTTCCAGATCTTAGGAGTTTCTCTCACTGTTATTTATCTCACGTTCACTAGATGGCGCTGTTAAACCAGGCACAAAAACATTCATTTTGAGTCGTATACACGTTTTCTGAGCAGTAAATCGGATGCATTAACAACTGCAGAGTCCATTAAATATCCACCAAAAGAAAAAAGAACAAAGACCCACAGACTCCTGTTTAAGACATTTCTGCAGGCCTATTCCATTACAGCCTCTGTCTCATTTGTACAGTTCTGATAATGATCACAATAGTGCTGAAACAATTTCCATACCACAGAAAAATGCAAGCCAGCCTAATGCAGGAACACTGTGCTTTGGGGGGTTTAAACCTTACATACATGATTGATGCTGTCCCTCTTTTGTCTAATTAGTGGCTATTCTACATTAAGCCATTTGCAACCAATTTCATTGTCCCCCAGGACATAAGATCGTTAAATAGGCCCTATGGTTTCTAGAAAGAGTCATCCATAGGAATTTTCCCTCTGTGCCAATTGAAGAGGTTTTTTTGTGCAAACAATACCAAACAGATGAGGGCAGCACTGCTGCACATGCATGAAGAGAGAGAGAAAATAACTACAAACATGTAAAGGAGTTGAAACTACATTTACGAATACCAACAGATATTTCAGAACATCACAAACCAATCAATGGGATAAGCATAGAAGATTTACCTTATAAAAACAACAAAGACTTATCAAGATTGCTCTGTCCATTGTCTGCAGTGCAGCTCTGCATGTTTAAAACAGATCGCAGGGATGTTTTAATGGGATGAATAGCAGACTTTGCAGAGCTTGGATTGATCACAGGCACAGAATTGCTCTGGTGGCTGTTGTCTGTTCACAATTGTAACTCATCACATTAACATAGGCCTATACACATCTTGAGATTATTTGGATCCAATAAAGTACTAATCCTTCCACTCTCAAACAGTACTTTCTGCTGTGATTTTTTTTATTACAATACTGTACAAAAGTCAGAGACCATCCCTCATTTATTTAATTTCCAGTCAAAATGGCAGTTATTCATTCAACAGTTATTCATTCAACAGTAATTCATTCAACAGTAATTCATTCAACAGTTATTCATTTTCAGTGTCAGAAAAAAAAAAACGTATATTTAACAGAAAATTAAACAAAAGCCTTAATATACTAAATATGATACACAAATGTTCAGTGTTTAGTGTGTCCTATCTTTGCTTTTATCACAGTTTCCACTGTTTTCTGGAGACCCGCATTCAGTTTTTCAAAGAAATCTGCAGGGATATTTTTCCACACCTCTGAAGTTCAGTCTTAGAAGTTGGTTGCATTTTCTGCTTCTCATGATCCAAGCAATCCCAAACACACTCAGCACTTTAAGTGCTGTTTATCTGATGGGGACAGTTAGGGTGGTCTACCAGGTCTTGCTTGGTTGTTAGGAGTTCCATTTTCTCTGTATCTCTTCATAGTTTTTCATCTCCAGTTTCATCCTGTTCCTCCTTGCTTATGCAAGTATATGATCTTCTCAGAAATATATTCTGAAAAATTAATAACATGTACTTAGTGACCATTTTGACTGGAAATGAAGTCAACAAAGGGCCTCTGACTTTTGCACAGTACTGCATTTGTAGAATTTAAGGTAAAACCTGAAACTGGCCGGATGAGTCTGGTTTTAATTGAATTGTCGAATCGTAACTGATTCTGCCATGTGCAGGCAGCAGTTCTGTGTTTGGTCTATTATTGGGCAATGATTATGTTTCATTTGTTTCATGACCACACCGCACACCCATACAGCCTAAGGAAATAACAGTAAAAGCAAATCAAATCTGCAGATTACTGACATCTTCCTGTGTTCAACAGCCGATCCAATTATCTGTTGCCTCTTGATACAGCACTTTATTGGCAGAGACCAGCAGTGGTTCAATTAAAATGAAAATGCTTAAACTCTGCTGTGAAAATGATTGGCCCTCAATTTCTGTTCATTTGCATGTCCTCAGAGATGTGTTGTGTATGCAAATAAGTAACTTAAGGAGACACAATGGGTCATGTGTGCCCAGTGCAATTAAACCACTGAAACTGAAGATGAGCTGCAGCGTTTGAGAGCTGTCTTTATAGTTTAGATCCATGGCTTAGAGTTGAACTTAAGTGTCAGGGTCTTTGAGCCTATGTATTAACCTCAGCAAAACTATAAAAGAGCAAGCAACAAGTCTTTAAGCTTGTGCCAGTGCTCACTTTTCTCTGTACGTTGTGCAAAGCTCTGAGAAATATTGCACTCACACATAGTTTGTGAAATATTAAAGACTTCAGAGACTTACTTTTACTTTTTTGTGTTTATGAACCATTTTAAAATTCTGTCAGGCAATATTTATGGAAGTAATTTTGCTATGTTTAATTGGAGCATGAATATTTTAATGCTGAATGTAATTTTAATGAAAAATGTCATTTTAATCTCAAAAGTAGCCTTAACCTCAAAATTGGCCTTTCAGCAAAATGTCAAAAATCTTTCCATTTTAAGATCATTTTGATTTACACAGTTTCAACTGTCCTGGATTTCCACTGAGAAAATTATAGAGACTAATAAAAAAATTAGTCATGTATGTGTTTTTGCTTGAGGGGGAGGATTTATGATAAAAGTGCAGTGGAGCCTTTCTAGACCTGCAGTTGATTGAATATTGAACTTCTCAAACTGATACTCATCCACCTGCTTTTGGAATCAGCATTTTATAGCCCTTATTATGGAAATCATGTGAACAGCAGGTGGTTTTCTTGTACTGGGGCCAAAATGGCCAGGAAGTTCTTTTTAAACTTTTAAATGTCCTCAGGTTCTTACTCTCTCTTTCTCTTTTGAGCTAATAGCCATAAGTTCTCTGGCTCCTGCTGCTGCTTCTTGTGCTTACAATAGTAAGGCATGATCAAATTTCATTGTTTTTACATAAGCGTCTGTGGAAATTAAGGATGAGTGATTTGTGTATCCATAAAGGGAGAATAGACCTCTCATTTGTTTTATCCATGCTTGGATGAACTGAATGTTGTGCAAGACTTGGTTGGGTTGGGCGAAACTGGTAGAGATCCTCATACAAACTCAGATACTCACAATTTGACTTGAGTGACCTCTCATTATAACTCTGGCTGTACATGATATTAGATTTTGAGGTCTATCTAAATGTCTGCTGGCAAAATAATTTAATTGCATTCTTGCTTGTGAAATAACTAACCCTCCACCCAACATAAATGCTTTGCATATGTTATGACCCCTCTGAATGTGCAAGATCAGCTCTTTAAATTTTAACCTTTCCCTTTCTTTAGCTCACATGGGGGTGCTTCCTATAGAGCATTCAATGGCTTCTAATTTGCTTCCATAATGAGTCCCGCAATGCACTGAACTATAGTAGCCTGTAAGCAGATGTACTTACTCAGACCCAGTACTGTGCAAGTCTGTGACAACCCTTAATTTATTTAATCGCCAGTCAAAACGACCATTAAGTAAAAGGTGATTATTTGTCAGCATCAAGAAAAAGCAGGAAACATATGTTTAACAGCACATTACACAGAAGCTTTAACAAAGAAATATAAAATCAAATTTTTTCAGTATTTAGTGTGTCCATTCATTGTGTTTATTACAGCTTCCATTCTTTTGTGGAGACCTGCTTTCAGTTTTTCAGATAATTCTGTACGTCTTACATAGCTCTAAACATAGCTAGTCTTAGAAGTTGGTTGCATTTTCTGCTTCTCGCTGATGTTGAGGTCTGGACTCTGGGCTGGTCAGTCTATTGTTCTGAGAACCCCAGCAGCTTCTTTCTTTGATTTGTAAATATTCTTCTTTTTTTTCTGTTCAATTTTCTCAGTAACAGCTTCTTGACAGCTACACATCCTTGCAGACTCATAGTGTTGAGTTGTCTTCTCACTGTGGAAGGATGGACAGAAACACCTGTGGATTTTTTCAGATCTAAAGCAAGAGTGGAGCTTGATTTTCTCCTCTCTCTCAAAGATGAAAGCACTGTTGGTGCTTTCTGATGTTGGCACTTTTGGTGGTCTGCCATGTCTTGTATGGTTGTTAGGAGTCCCATTTTCTCTAGATCCTTTAATAATATTTTGAAATACAGTTTTGTTTTCACTTTTTTCTTGGACTGCCCCCCTCCTTATGCAAGTGGATTATCTTAAATATCTCCTGAAAAATGAATAACTTGTGCTTAATGGGCATTTTGAAAAATAATATAAATGAAGAAAGGTCACTTACATTTGCTCAGTATTGTAAGCCCACTTGCCAAATATCAGTCAACAGATAAATGGCAAATTCA